TTCGCGTTCAGAAATTAGAAGCTGCACTGGGTCACGCCTTCTGCCACTGCAATGAAGCATGCCATTGAGCGATATCGCCCTAAAAAAGGCCAGTAAATCCAAAAGCACCTTTTTCTAATGTCCATAACTTTTTCGAGAAAAGAGCTTCTAAAGCAGGATAAGCAGGACTGTCAAGCTCTAGGCTCGCCCGTTGGTTCTTCATTAACTGTGCTTAATTCATTCTAAACAGCTTCTCAAGGAGATATCTTTGTGGTGTCATCGTTGTTGAGTTTCGGTGCCACCTACGAGATGTCATGTTTTGAGCGCTCAGGACCTTCTTTGCATATGTTCCCTAGTGAAAATAAAAACAGTGTCGGAATTTCTGAGAATTTCCTTTTTAAAAACCACCTCTTTTTTTACCCTTGCCCAATACTCAAAAAGATTCCCTATTGTGTAAAGGTTGTAGGCAGACTCGGGCAACACGAAAAAACCCACCCATCCGGCGCGGTGTACTTCCAGCCTGCTTAAAGCCTTGATTGCTTCTAAAACACATCTTTTAGCCGATGTTATCATACAATAGTTCATTCAGCGCCGATGACATCATCTCTGTCTTGCACCATGCATCCGACTCTCACGAGAGCTGTAACTGCCGTATAAGACTTATCCGTGCAAGCCACTGCGGTTAAGAAGGTTTCGGGCGTATACTGTGTTTCGTTCGTTTATTAAGGCTGCGTTCATACTTTGCGGCAGCAGCGACCAGCAGCGTCCACCAGCGATCTTCACTGTCTCGAGGGACTAGAGAAGTATGGATTATCAATCCTTTTTTTTGTTTTTTTCTAGCGTCTACCAGCAACTATCAGCGGCCACCATGGTCCACCACCAGGAGTACGGTGCAACCCGTATGCGACAAAAAGTGGTAGAAAATGAGTAATACCAAGGATATAATGCGGTAATGCACTTGCCCGCTTCAGGAACTGATGTGCAGAACTAGACTCTGCCAGAACCGCCACCAAAGACAGCCGGACTGCACGCTCACCGGTGCCGCAGATGATGAGGACTGTATTTGTGTAGCATTCCTGGTGGTGAACAATCCATGTCTCCTCCCTCCTATTTCCCCATACTCTACTAGAAGTCTGCTACCCTCCCACTTCTCCATACTCTCTACTCTTAGACGCTGGTGGACGCTGCCGCAGAATGAACGCTCCTAAATTATGTCTTCGTGGAATTCTGCAGTATTTATTGTCGCTACCGTTCCCCACCTCTGAACTTGCAGCTTCAGGTTCAGGTTCTCTTCAGGTGCGCCCTACAACAAAACCATGAAATTTTCTATCATTCAGTGACTGTACAACATCTGAGCATTGGTGGTCTTCCCACTCTGAATGCGCTCTGCGCTTACGATCCCCTCCCCCCCCCCCTTACCCCCGTAGTGATTCCGTGCGCTGGGCCCAACGCAGAAGAGAGGTCACCGTAGTACTGCTGTGTGGCCCCCATTAACCATTGTCATGTCTCCGCAAACGATAGGACGAGTGCCGAAGGGCATATTTCGGAGTGCAGGCAGATCAGATTTCCCCTAAGCTGGATGGGGCCCAGGACGGTATCACTGGTTAAGAAATGACCTGGCTGCGCTGCGACCGCGCCGCGGCACACGCCCTGTCGTTTGCATGGATCACGGCAGTAGAACAGTGCCAATAAAAGCAGTAGAATAAAGAGCTTTGGCACAGAAGAAGACAATGTTCATTTAAATTTAATAAATGAATGGACAACACAATATTTGACTAAGAAGTATCTGCACAAATCTCGTTCACACCAGAAAAGTTGCGACAACGCGTGACGTTTTCGATCTACGACAAAATCGATAATCAGTGATGAAACTGACATGAAACCGTAAGATAATGCATAAGATGCGGCGACAAGAAAACGTACAATGTGACTCTTTTTCGAAATATCCGCGACTAAATTTTGCTACTTTAATAACTAATCGATATCGATCGGTTGACTGTGCCTGAAAAATCTACAGATGTTGAGTGGCCAGGTGAGTGACGACCGGAGTGACATGCAACCAATATCGCAGAGACGGAGAGGAAGAGCGACACAGACGTGGGCAGAGAACGAGACAACGCGACGCGGCCTGCGCGCGTATGTGGTACATAGAGCACTCTGCGGGTGTATAGATTAGAACAAATGCACCATATGAAATGAATAGATATCGATCGACGAGAAAATGAACAAATATATTATAATGATGATGATGATGGAATGATTTCGACTGTTGGTCTGAATCGTATTTGGCATTGCTTGAGTAGAAATCCCTAGAATTCGAAACACGGACGACGCACAAATCAATAATATATTAATATCTAAACGCGAAATGTGTACACAATTAGATTTCGTACGCGCGACGCGGCATCGCAGTCGTAGTGCATCACGCGCCGACTCATGATCACAATCGATAATCGATTAGGCGACCAATCGGAAAATCGAGCAATTCGCCTCGGGAAGATCGTTCACTTCGAACACGAAACCGATGACCATAAGTGTTTCGCCAGTGGCTTGATTGGTAACAACCTGAAACGGTAATGCTATTGACTTTTTCACGAGTTATTAAGATTTATTGATTGCAAAGGAGGCCAGTGTACATC